ACCGCTCCTCCTCCTCCCGATCCAGGCACCGCAGCTGCTGCTCCACCTCCTCGGGCACATTCACCTCCAGCAGGTTCTCCATCCCTGGGCCAGGCTCGTCCCCGATCAGCACCTTTTCCCACCAGGAATGGGGGGAGGAAGGCTCAGGGAAGGACGACAGGCCGGTAGGACCCCAACTCTTCTCTGCAAGGGGCCCCACGACCCAGTGGGGAGCAGAAAGCAAGGGAGAGGCAGGACAGAGCCCTCGGAGCAGCTCCAGGGCAGCTCCGCACGCCGGGACCCGGCTGTCTCCCCCCAGGAACCCCACCTGAACGAGCTTCTCGCAGGCAGCCAGCACGTCAGGCTCCCGCTCCCAGCGGTGCAGCTCCCGCAGGACCAGGTACGTCCCCTTCTCCCTCACGATGTGCCGGCCGGCCTTGGTGGCCGTGAGCTGCGAAGAAGACACAGCAGCAGCGTGGGCAGGGAGTCCAGGTGTGACCAGGAGAGCAGCAACAGCACCCAGAAAGGGAAGGGATGCTGCGGGGCCGGGCTCGGCCAGGATCCCAGGCCAACCAGTTGCCCAGGACCACACCCAGATGGATTTTGAGTATCTCCAAGGCTGGAGACTCCACCACCTCCCTGGGCACCCCGTGCCAGGGCTCTGCCACCCTCCCAGTGAAAAAGTGTTTCCCGATGTTCAGGTGCAACCTCCTGTGTGCCAGTTTGTGCCCACAGCCTCCGGTCCTGGTGCTGGGCACCACCAGGGAGAGCCCAGCTACTCTTTCCTCCCCACTTCAGGCATCTGGGGACATTGGTGAGAACCCCCTGAGCCTCCCCTTCTCTGGGCTGGACAGTCCGAGCTCCCTCAGCCTTTCCTCAGAGCAGAGATACTCCAGTCCTTTCACTATCTTGGTGGCCCTCCTGTGCCTCTCTGATACTGGGGAGCCCAGCACTGGACCTAGCACTCCAGGGGTGCCCTCATTAGAGGTTCCTCAACCTGCTGTGACACTCCTCCTCAGGCGGCTCAAGACATCATTTGCCTCCTTTGCCACAGGAACACGCTGCGAACTCACGTTCAACGTGGCATCTGCCAGGACCCCTGAGGCTCATCTGCAGAGCTGCTTTCCACCCCGTCGTTCCCCTGCCTGTCCTGCCGCCCGGGGCTGGTCCTTCCCCAGGCTGAGCTCCACCAGGTCGCTCCACCATTTCTCCCGCCTGCCCAGGTCCCCCTGCATGCCAGCACGACCCTCTGGTGTACCAGCTGCTCCTCCCAGCTCGGCGTCACCTGCAAACCTGCTGAGGGTACGCTTTGCCCCGTCACCCAGATCATTAAAGATGCTGAACAGGACTGGACTCCATATCGACCCCTGGGGCACACTGCTGACCACCCTTGGGGCCCGGCCAGTTTTCAATCCACCTCACTGCCTGCTCATCCAGCCCAGACATCATCACTTCTCCTGGCAGACAACATGTTCTGGGGCAGCCCTGAACACCCTTCCACTCCCAGGAGCCCCTGCCTGGGCTCTCGTCCTCAGCCCTGCTGCCATTTGCACCACAGGGACCCACCAGCATGATGGCTTCCAGCAGCATCTTCCGGATGTCAGGTTCTTCCTCTCGCTGCTTGTCCTGGGGCAGGTACTGCAGGTCCACGGGCAGCCCTGGGGGAGAGGCAGCCTCAGGGAGGAGGCACACGGCTAGTGGCCCCCAGACACCCACCTCCCACTCTGACACCCACTTACTTTCCATCTCGTCCTCAGGAAATTCCTCGGGGCCTGCTAGAGGCAGGAGGAGGAAGGGCAGAATGTCGACCTCCTCACTCAGCAGCCACTCATGGTCCCCTGGGGACAGCCTGGGGTCAGAGAAGATGCTACAGCCAGGGCAGAAAGCCCAGCCCAGCCCCCTGTGGTGGGCTGACCCCGGCCAGCAGCTCAGCACCCACCCAGCCACTCACGCACCCACTCCCCCCACCAGTGGAACTGGGGAGAAGTGGACGGGCAAAAGCAAGAAAAACTCATGGGTCAGGACAAAGACATTCAATAAGTGAAGGGAAAAAAAAAACACAAACAAAAGCCCCAAGTGATATGAAGGTACTGATCACTTGGCACAGACCAATGCCCAGTCCGTCCCCACACAATGGCTGCTTTGGCCCCCTCCCCGTTTTAGAGCTGACTGTGACACTATAAGCTGTGGGACACCCCTCTGCTCCATGAGGGTCAACTGTGTCCCCCCAGTCTCCTGCCCACCCCCAGGCAACTCACTGCGGGGCCAGCGTGACAAACGGGGAAGGCCTTGGTGCTGCGTGAGCACTGCTCAGCCCCATGTAAACTCGGC